TAATAAACACTTTTCTCTCACTTCCGCTGACTGTCATACACTGAAGCAGTTCTGGCGGATGACACAGCACGTATGCACAGCGCGCGTGCCTCTGAGATATGCTAGTCTCGCGAGTTTGTTTATAGGAGCAAAGGATGCAAAGTTTCCTTACTTTAGCAAAGGAACTTTAGTCTCCTCTTGGTTTATATCGAAATCCTCTGACATTTTTCTTTACAAATCCTCGGTTTGTACTTCTAATTCGTGACCGGCATTTTGTTTTGTTCTCTCTTCACATTCGTCACTAATCACGCAACGCCGATGTGCTACGTCATCCACCAGAACGGCTTCCGCGTATGACAGAAACCGGAAGTGAGAGAAAAGTGTTTATTACGTTTGAAATATCGATATTTTTCTTACAAAAACACATGGATTCGCTACAGGAGGCCTTTATTCACCCCACCAGAGCCATGTGAGGCATGTTTTATTACGGATGCGCGCGCTTTATTTGACGACTTGTGGACTGTTCAACTGCAACACCCGCTGACTGCAATGATAGAGCTTGGAATAGCCAGGACAATTTTTAATATAACTCCGACTGGATTCGTCTGAAAGAAGAAAGTCATATACACCTAGGATGCTTCGAGGGTGAGTAAAACACAGACTAATTTTCATTTTTGGGTGAACTAAACTTTAAGGACCCATCAGCCTGCGCCATCTAGAGTTTCATGACAGAACTTGGCATATATTTATATATATATATAAACAATTTTTATTTTATACAAAAAGAAGTAATTTATTGTTCATAATACATTCAACACAAAATGGAAGTTCAACCTCAATTCACTATTTTTAAAGGGAATTGGTGAATCAAACAAAAATTTAGCATAAACTGTGAAGAGTAGCAGAGATAGCAAGTGAAATCTCAGGAAAAGGAAAAAAAAGAAATAGATCATCTCATGACATGGCATTTTTCATGCAATCACACCAAAAATGGCAGAAGAGAACGTGGTTGCTATTAAAAAAAAAAAAACAGACATCATCTATTTCTTATTAAAAAAATTTTGACCAGCACCCTAACCCTCCCACTCGCCAACAAAGAACAAGAAAAATAAGATTTGAAAGCTATTAATTAATAGACTAATTTAGCCTTTTTTGTTTGATCCAATTAACATAACTAAAGATAATGCTTTAACAATGCAGTATGACAAGGCATAGAATGTGACAATTAGCATTAGAAATACTTTTTGCAGTCACACTATAGAATTTGTTTATTAAAGTGATTTCTTTTGCCTTGCCTTACCTTAGTGTCTATTTTTGATACACCTATGTGTAGTCACAATGTAGTGTTTGTTTTGTTATTAATATTTATTTATTTATTTATGTATTTTTATTTATTGTATAAATATATTATATATTTAATATATTGTATTTATATATTTTTTTATTTATGATGTGACAAAAAGGGAAAAAAGTTGATTGTACACTGTGGCTTGCCATGGTGAGGCGCGCTGTGTTTACCTCAGACACTAACAAGCTGAGCCTGGGGAAAGCCATTGAAGTTTGAGTGTGCATTTATTACTCCTGATATTTCAGGTATGAGTTTATAAAAAGTGAAACGTGTGTTATTGTTAATGTAAAAACATGCCAGTTCACATTTCCTATGTTTTTGAAAACAAATAACTAATTCGGGGTGATTATTTGAGTAGAGTTTCCGGATGAGGATAACAGATTAAAAATTATGGTTGGACTGTGTTGTGATTTTGTAAATAATAAATTTACTTAAGAATGTGATAATTTAATTTTTTTTAAAAGACTAAGAAATCGTAATTGTATACTTGTTCAGAGTAATGTATATGTTTTATGAGAGTGAGGGTCCCGGACCCATTAAACATTTACTAACTATCACTGTTAGTACAGATTTACTCATTTTGATTTGCTAAATCACAAATAGTCACTGATGAGTAATTTTTCCAATCCTTAAATGAAAACCCAGTATAGAGAGGCTGAGAAAATGTGGTCTGGATTCTGTGCAGGAGGGTCATTTTATCAGAGACATTGTAAAATGACACAGTTCCTGCTTCTTGATCAAGAAACACTCCAATTTTAGAGACCAAGCTAATGTTGGTCTGTTGGCCATTATTCCATACACAAAGATTAGCTGCTGGAAAGTCACATTTCCAGGATCTGTTGTTAGAGCCAAAGATAAATGTTCCTCCACCTTTATTAATCTGGTCATATGAGAATGCAATAGAGCATCCTGTTCCTCCCCACTGAACTTCAAAATAACAGCGTCCAGATAGACTCTCTTTACACAATACCTGGTATGTACGTTTAGAAATTGAATTCAAAACTGATTGGTTCAAAACTGGATTCCATGAATCTGTGCTTTGCTGAACATCACGCCTTGACACAGACTTGTTATTTTTTACAGAGAGCTGAGTACAGGCTGATGAGTGGTTCAGATTCAGTTCAGAGGAATCTGTTGATAAAAAGAAAATGGAATTAAACATATGTACTTCAGTAAGGGATTTTCCTCACTCCTGACACACAGCTACAAAGTGACTCACATATAAAGAACTCTTCTCTGTTCTTGGGTTTAGATGGCAAATCTAAACAAATAAAAAAAAAAACCGTAAGCACATACAGTATGTATGTATCAAGTGTATCATTTCAGAATAAAAATGTGAAAAAATATATTGACTTACATGCTGTGATCTTCTCATTATTCACCATTATATGGATAGTTGGAACTATTAAGACACAAATTGTTTAACGTGATTATTTTACCATAATTGATGGATATTATTAACAATGACTTACAATTCTGGTTTCAAATCCTGGTTTTCACAAAAAAAAAAAAAAAACTGGAAAAATTACCAATGAATTACAATTCATTACCACATTAAAGATAACAGCTTGGTAAACAAACATCCTTAAAAGCTAACTCACCTTTCTCTGATATCCACAAAATGTCTTGTTCACAGAGATCATCCAGTTGACTTTTCAGGTCACTGACAACTGTTTCTATTTCCTCAAATGTCAGATGTTGGCTGATGGAGATGTCACACAAATTTGAACATTGGTAGCGGGAAACAGATAAGAAATTCTGCAGATGGAAAAAGCAGCAATAAATCATAAAACATTTCACAATAAGGCTTTTGATGCAGACCAGAGTCTGTTAGATGTCAGAGTTAAGTTAGTTTGGTGGTTTTCTCCGCTGTCTGTTTAAAAAGGTGGCCTGGGGTTCATGTCATCTTCAGTATGATTTGCAGTTGGAATGAGAACACAGGTGCTGCTCTGTAAAGTGTCTCTAAAGTGTTGTGATAAATCCAAAAAGACAAAAACATAAATAAAATAGCAAAGCTGGCATCTTGTCATCCTGATTCATTACCTAGCCCTTGTTTTGTGCCCTCTAATATTATTCCCTTTTGTATTACCAAACAAATGACATAGCCCCTAAATTCTAGCATCAAATTTGGTTTCTGACCATGCAGTCAAACCAAGAGTGAAAACAGCCTTAAAAAAACAAACTTCCTCTGCTGTAGATGATCAAAGAGTTCTGTTACCTGAATAACATAGATGTCATCCTCTATCAGAGAAAGCTGCCCCAGTTCAGCATGCTTCTTCCTCAGATCACTGATCTCCTGCTCCAATGTTAGTACGAGTTCCTCAACTCTGCTTACTTCTGATTTCTCCTGAGCTCTGATCATGTCTGTTATCTTGACTCGTCTTTTCTCCATTGAGCTGATCAGCTCCGTAAATACCTTCTCGCTGTGCTTCACGGCTGCTTCTGCAGAGCGCTGTTAGATGACAGAGAGAAAACTTATATTAGAACATCTCATTGAGTCAGCTCTTACTGTAACCCACAGACAAAAACTCTTGAATTACACCTAAAAACAAGTTAACAATAAAATAAAACCATATAAAAAAAGATTACAGAACATATCAGAAAGCATACCACTTGTTTGAAATAATGTGCTGTATGATAACTCATATGTTTCCAAATTATACTCCAAGGAAAACTTTTTTTCAAGGCATATTTATCATACTATAATTCTATACCATAGTTTACCTATCTTTGTACAATTGTACACTAATATCCTATAATATATTTATAACAATGCACTTACCTTATGAGAGTCCACAGCTTCTCTTAATTCCTGTACCTTCAACTCTCGCTGATGTATTTCTCTTTGTAGGCCATCTTGATTTTGCAACCGCCCCTGTGAATAAATTTGTAATGGTTTCGTATTATGCTTCTGCAATAATATGTTTGTTATGGAAACTGTTCCCAAACAGTGAAAAGTAAATAAAATGAAAGAAAGATGAGATTGCAAAGCCATGACGAGTTTTTCCAGTTGAACTCTTAAAAACTCTTGACTCTCAGTATGCCCACTGCCTAATCTACTGATTCACTGCAGTAAAAAAGTACTTTCTCAATCTGGCAAGATAGGTTTCTACCAGCCTGCCAGGAAACAAAGGTGCGGGGTTCTATAATGCACATTTCTGAGGAACAAAATTCCAAATAAAAATACATAAACTTCTGAGGAGGAACTAATCTTCTCAAAAAGTTCTGTTAGAGACATGAAATAGCATGTAAACTACCTATCCACAAATCAAGGGTTTAAATGAGCAGAAAACTTTTTTTGACCTAGTCTACTATCAAGTAGTGTTAATAATATTTTTAATTTGCAACAATTAATCTATGTCCAGTACTTTAGCATCGGAGGTGGAAGACAACTTAAGCTGAGAACACATACTTCATACTTTTGTATAAGTATAATATTATGTTAATTAGTCTAATAATATTTCTAATAATAATTGTTCAGAACAATCGTTTCATCTGTTGGAATTAATTTGAATGTCAGAGACTAGGGAGGTAGAAAAAAGTTTCACTGATAAATATATTTGAGATGCCTTACCTGTATTTTTTGTCTTTCTGCTGCAGGTGAAGTCAAGTTATGGTTCTGGTGGTTGATCAAAGCGCACTGAACACATATCAACTGCTGATCTTGGGAACAGTACAGCTCCAGAGGTTTATGATGTTGGGAGCAGATCTGGTCCAGTAGATGTGGAGAGGCATTGGCTAGTTTGTGCCATTTTAATGCAGGAGATGTATAATGAGTTTTGATGTGAGATTCACAGTAAGAAGCCAAACACACCAGACAAGCCTTGAAGGCTTTTAGTTTGGTCTCTGTGCAGATGTCACACTCGACATCTCCAGACACAGCAAAACTCAGGACAGGAGAGGCTGTTCCTGCTTCTGGTGCTTCTCTCTTCATTCTCTCTACAACTTCAGACAACACAGTGTTTCTGCTGAGAACTGGTCTTGGGCTGAACGTCTGCCTGCACTGGGGGCAGCTGTAAACGCCTTTCTGATCATCCCTATCCCAACACTCATTAAGACAGTCCATACAGAAACTGTGCCCACATGATGTACTTACTGGATTCTTCAGAAGGTGAAGACAGATTGGACAGTTAAATGGATTTTGATCATCAGAGGATTCTGCCATGTTGTTGCTGCGAAAACAGTAAAAAACTGTAAGTGATGTTACCGGAAAAGATTGAATCACATAAACTAAAACTCAAATCTCACTCAACAGCTTACAAAAATAAACAAAACACTTAAATATAACATTGTAATTTGGTTTACTCAATGTTGCTACTATAATAGAAGTTCAATCATGACAACTCTCTGAAGATTTTAGCATGGTGATGGATATGACAATGTTAAATGGGTCATATGATGCGATTTCAATTTTTCCTTTCTCTTTGAAGTGTTACAAGCTCTTGGTGCATAAAGAAGATCTGTAAAGTTGCAAAGACTAAAGTCTCAAATCCAAAGAGATATTCTTTATAAAAGAGTCAACCACGCCTACCCAAAAACGGCTCCAACAAAGCTGGAAGAAGAAAACAAAACAATTAAATATGTATGCTGCTGCTATACAGTAATATGCTTAAAATCATCCCTATGAGGCAGAAGGAATATAAAGATAAAACCCCCCAGAACAAGCAGATCTATTGCCAAGATATATGTACTGCTGCTGCTCCGGAGAGCCGTGAGACCATGTGTTTGCTATCTATGTGAGCCTGGGCTTTGTCGAATGGCTTAACGCTAGTGAACTATTGCTGTGTCTACCTGATCGGTTGACCAGATAGCTTAAACGACTGACCTGAGTTAAATGTGTTTCTGGGCTAATGGAGCCCAGATAAATTAACTAGTGGCTTAACAATGTGAACCTGGGTGCTGTACCCTTAGGCATTACCGCGGGAAGTAGGGGTGCTGAGGGTGCTGAGGGTGCTGCAGCACCCCCTGGTGTGTAGCCCTCTTGGAACAAAATTAATGCTTAAGGTTGATTCAGTATTACTCTTAATGAAAAAAAAAAATCCCACACACAACATCAGCAATACTACAATGACAAAGTAGCTTATATTAACATAAAACTTTTATTAACAGAACGAATAAGACATACCCGCTGAATCACCTGGCTCAGGCTCGGACAGCCTGAGCAAATAGTTTTAAATTTGTCATTCAAGAGTTGTAATTTTTTTTCCATTAACGTTCACCAACGTTACTGCAATGGAAATACTTACCTTTAACTCTCCAAATAAAAATTTGCAACATAGAAATGCTGTGCATGCTGCTGCTGAGAAAAATCTCACTGACTGAATGCCTATGCAAGCTGCTGCTACTGCTCAAGAGACTGAACTGCTGAGAGCTCAATTAATTAGGTAATATAAGTAGCTAGGCGGATGCCTATTTTACTCTAACACGGTGTCCACGCCAGACGCGAGCGGCACAACATGACAAAGTCAATAGACCCGTTACGATAGGTAAAGCTGTCCGCAATGTAGGCCTATGCAGTACAATACGGCCAACGAAACAAAACTTCTGCTACTGCTACTATTGATAATATTCACTAACATTTCAATACTGAGTTGAAGTACATGCTGTTGCTGTTAATGATATTCACAATGTTGTAGTAGGAATTTACTGTGCGAGCTGTTGCGGTTGTAACATTTAATCAGAATTTGCGAAGCATAATTTACTGCTGTTGCACGAAACTTGCTGAAAGCCCTGTTGAATAAGCAAAGTAATAAATGCCTATTGCACTTTAAAGAGTTAATTTACCCTCCATGAGTTATCACTACGCTACTATATTAGCAACAATAATAATATGACTTGCTATGCATGCTAATATTATTTCTAACCTTGCATCTGAATTTGCTATGCGTGCTATAAAATTTGCTAACATTGCGATCTGAATAGCTATGCATTCTGCTGCACAAAAGTACTTAGAATTGCTACTGCCCCTTTATTAAATAACCAAACACAGCTTATTTCGCTTTGAAGAGTTCTATAAACTCTATTGAATTGAATAGCAAAGTAATAAAATGCCTATTTCACCTAAAAAGTTCAGTACCATCCAAGCGTTATATTATCACTGAAATTTCAGGCAACTAAATGTACTTTCTGCTGCCGCTGCTATATTAGCAACAATGATAATTGGATTGCCATGCAGACTGCTGCTAATATTTCTAACCTTGCGTCTGATTTTGCTATTTATGCTGCTGCTATTAAAATTCACTAAACTAGCAATCTGAATAGCTATGCATACTGCTGCTACAGCTGCACAAAAGTACTTAGAATTGCTATAAACGTTTTTATTAACAAGCAGACGCAATCAAATAATGTCTATTTCACTTTGAAGAATTCACAAAATCTACTGTAAGTCCTGTTAAATAAGCAAAGAAATAAAATGCCTATTTCACTTTAAAGGGTTAGTTCACCCAATAAAATTCTGTCAAACCTTCATCCACCACTGGATACCTTCCTTGGGCCAAGTGCGTGGACCTTACACTGCTATTAAAGGGTTAGTTCACCCAAAAATGAAAATATTTTTCTAAAAGACAGGTATGCATCTTACTCTTAGATTTGTCTTTCAGAATTTGATATCTTTGAATTGATTATGTAATTGCCATGATACAAGTTTACCTGACAAATAATAAATTGTTATATTTGATTTATTCTTAACTTTTCTTGAACTTATTCCTCAAGTAGATTAAGTGAAGGAGTATGCTTCCGCAAAACTGCGTCCAGGGTTATGTGCATAGCATGGGCACATCAGGTGAGGCCATGGGTTTCTGACTAACCGCTGGACCTTAGTTTAAGTTGTACTCAGTTACGTTAACCATGTATATGATTTCAGAGTTAATTAAGTTGTACGAAGTTATATTAGCTATCGGGGTCTAGACAAGGGGTTCTAGAAGAACCGCTGATTAATGTGAGCATTACATGGGTAACTGTAGGGGGCTAAACAGACCTACTATTTAAGGTATATTAAATAGTATTAGCCACAAACCTCTGAATAAGGTTCAGACTGGCGAGTTTTGTGATCGTGGAGCCCACGCATAGCGGCCGCCGTGAGGCATCCTAAATAACAGAGATTCCTAATGAACGAGAAAATACAAAGTAAAGAGTTAACTAGAATAATCAAATGTCAGAATAATTAGAGACCGACAAACAACCAATTTGCCTTTCAACCTAAATTCGAGGTAATACTAAAATGGGGTCAGATTAGATAATAAAATGGAGTCAGATTTCAGTTAAACCTAAATTGAATAACTCTGCGCGCTGAAAAGACCGAACACGCAAGTGACCGTCATCCACCACTGGATACCTTCCTTGGGCCAAGTGTGTGGACCTTACAAAAGTTTTGAGAAACGTGTTGTTTCGAGAACTGTATGAATGGTTTGGAAAATTGTGTCAAAAGAAAAACTGCAATCCCATACATCGGGCAGAATCCATGCATTATTGTAAGAAAAATATCCATATTTCAAACGTAATAAACACTTTTCTCTCACTTCCGTTATCTGTAATACGCGGAAGCCGTTCTGGCGGATGACGCAGCATGTATGCACAGCGCGCGTGCCTCTGAGATATGCTAGTCTCGCAAGTTTGTTTATAGGAGCAAAGGAAGCAAAGTTTCCTTACTTTAGCAAAGGAAAACCAGTCTCCTCTTGGTTTATATCGAAATCCTCCGACATTTTTCTTTACAAATCCTCGATTTGTACTTCTAATTCGTGACCGGCGTTTTGTTTTGTTCTCTCTCCACATTCGTCACTAATCACGCAACGCGCGGCTTCCGCGTATGACAGATAGATGAAGTGAGAGAAAAGTGTTTATTACGTTTACTGTTCAACTGCAACACCCGCTGACTGCAATGATAAGAGCTTGGAATAGCCAGGACAATTTTTAATATAACTCTGACTGGATTCGTCTGAAAGAAGAAAGTCATATACACCTAGGATGCCTCGAGGGTGAGTAAAACACAAGCTAATATTCATTTTTGGGTGAACTAACCCTTTAATAATTCACTAATAACGCTATCTAAAATTCTATGGATACTGCTGCTACACTCCATGAAAGTATTAGAATTGCTGTAGCCCATCCATGCATTATCACTGAAAATTCATGCAAATAAAGTACTTTCATCTGAACTCTTCAAGTGTACAGGAATTAATATACAGTACTAGCCTATTCCATTTTTCGAGCTAAAACTTTTTAATGAGGTAAATGAATGAAGGCACCTTTAAATTCAAGAAATTTCACAGATTAGTAGTTCAAACACTTTTTTCAGAAAGGTGCCTACTGAAAAAAAAAGAAAAAAAGAAGAAGAAGAAACCCTCTATAGAATTTTAATGGTTATAATGGGAATTGTGTTGGTTTTAATGGAAACTGTAATGGTCCCTGTGGCTTCCACTGGTAATTTGTTGTTGCCTTATATTGGTGGCATGTTAAAATGGTTAACAGTTGACAGTGAAGTGTAGTCAATTTGTGCTCTGCATTTAACCCATCCAAGTGCACACACTCAGAGCAGTGGGCAGCCATGTGCTGCGGCACCCAGGGAGCTGTTTGGGGGTTCGGTGCCTTGCTCAAGTGTCTCATCTCAGTCATGGTATTGATGAAGGAAGAGAGCGCTGGTCATTCTCTCCCCCCACCTACAATCCCTGCCTGTACCGGGACTTGAACCCACAAGCCACAATGTTTGGATTACAAGTCCAACTCTCTAACCATCAGGCCACGACTGCCCCCAGTTTATGATTTGTAAATATTTTTTTCCCCCCAGCAGGGTTTTGCTTCACTAAATTTGGGTTTTAATTAATCTTTTCACACATGATGACATGATTCATTTATCGTTAGTCTCAAACTCACCTCATTTCTCTTTCTCTTGTTTCTCTAACTAAAACCACGTCAAGAGAGATATTTGCGTTCCCTCGCAAAACTTGCGTTCTCTCGCAAAGATATTTTTGTTTTGCCATCATTTATTGCTTTATTTATTATATTAATAATACACTTAATGAAATGTGAAGAATATGACATAAAACATGACATACAATTAATAAGGCTAGAAAAACTTTGCCTCTATAACAGTAAAAATGCACATGTAAATCAATTTCAGGGGGCAAATATTGTCCCTTAATGGAAAAGGTGTAACTGCGGTCTAAGTTGGGGGTACTCAGAAGAACGTTAGGCTAAATGCCCTAGGGGTACGCCATTGTAAAAGTTTTGAGAACCACTGGCTTAATGGATTACTGCGTTGATTGCCTGTAGTATATTTT